CCATCCGCATGGTCCTCTTTTATCGTGTAAGATTTTTTTAGCGTTTGTAAGAATGTTTGTCGTATTCTCTCGCGAGTCTCATCACAGTGAATGAGGATCGGTTTCTTTGGATCAATCTGGCTATCAGTATGAAACGACAGAATCACTGGAATTCTCAGATAATTGTTCAGAAAAATGCTTACGTTGCTTCGTGACCGTTTGTCTTGCATCTGTAATTGTTGAAGTATTAAATGATCGAAACAAATTTTATGCAATAGCGCACTGCCTTTTTTCAGATATTGACAGAAAAAACTAGCCATTCGGGATGATCATTTATTTACAGTTTAAAAAAAAATAAACGGTTTCCAACTGGCTTTGAACTGGCTTTTGTCTCAGAACTTTTGTTTCGGCCGTTCATAGGTCGAAAAAAATTTTTTTACAATCTCGTCCGGTCCGACCGCTTGATCTGGACCGTCCATTTTCCCTTACGTTAATTTTACACCTCTAAATTTTTACGACTTCAAAAGAAGTTTTTGACGCACATATCTTCCGCTGGCACTCATGGTACTGAGGTTTTCATTACCAACCCTCGTTTACCCCAACGCAGACTTTCCTGTTTGGAATGATCACTTCTTGGTTAGGACTCCACGGGTCTATCTATTTCCTTACTGATAATCAACAAAGAGCAATTCTCGAAATAGCTTTGACAAGGGCTTGTTTGTGAGGACATGTTGAGCTGTTATGTTACTGTTTTCAGTGGACGAAACGAACTTCAGGACCACCAGCAACAAGTTGACTATCAGGACTTTCAACATTTCTCAAAAACAAGTAGAAAAGTTGCAGTTTTTCTAGCTGGAGGACCACCAAGTTGCGAATTGCATTATGAATTGCAGAAGAAAAACAAATTAAACTTCTTTCCAACTTACTAACTGCAAAAAGTTTACTTTTTGCCTAACTGGGCACTTTTTTCAAGCATTACGACAAAATCTTTCAAAAAATGGCCTTAGTACAAAAATTCGCTTTCAATAAAGGAAAATATATCTAGCGAGTGCATTTGCCTCAAGAATTGTTTCTTCAGAACGCAGCTAGCTCCTCACTGTAACTCCTAACCTCATTTTACATTTGCCTAATGAGGGCAAGGAATCTTAGGCTTGCAATAAGAATTTTTTGGAATGCTAAGCTCAGTTCAGGGCAATTTTCGCATAAGTTGATTTTCTGTTTATTTACCTTAGCCAACTGGGCTTACGGTTGCTGCGGCAGTTGGTATTGCTCGCAACAAAATTTCCAATCCCTCTGCGTTTTACAACAAACAAATGCGGAGGCAGTTTTGAATTTGACATACCTCTGTTTGCTGCTGCTTCGTTTTCTCCTTTGGAAATGTGTTGTTTACAAAATGGCCATTTACAAGTGGCTCCCTTTTCGGCTAAAAAAAACTTTTTTTTTGGATTAAGAATTTCTACGGATTTTTAGCACATGTTGATTCTGTGAGATATAAATTGGAAAGAAATGGGCGTATTAGTAGGGATAGTTATGAAATAATACAGGAGATTTTACAAGAATATAAGTAGCTGGCTTTCAGAGGCCGATCGTAGGTGAACGGTCGTAATGGAACAGCTGGTGTATTTTTTGCGGCCCTTGGCAGGACCAAACCGTAATTTTTGAAGCAAACGGGCAGTTCGAAACATGGAAAATAAGGGACAGCCGTCCTCCACAAATTTTGATGTAGGTTGAAATTAGTTAATAGATTTTGAGAAGAGATAGTAAAGGCTGCTTTGAATATGCGACTATCAGAAGTCAAATAATAAAACCAGTCCGTCGGATTTTACTCTCTCGCATGGTTGCGATGAAATTTAGCATTTAAAAATGTTCGTTTGAAAAATATTTCAATTTCTATAAACTAGCTAACATTGCTGGAACTCTTCCTGAGTATGCATTTATTAAATGACTAAAGTTTGAGCTTACAATTTCGGCGGATGGTTGCTGTTCAGAAGATGCCGGTTCGGCCGATACTTCACTACTTGTGATTTTCATCTCGCTGCTCCGTGGTGGCGGCCAAACTCCGGGATTCGCGATTCGCACATACGATGTCTGTAAGTTCATCCGCTGCTATGTGCAAGTCTCGGTTATCTGCTACTAGTGATTTCTGTTTGAAAGCACTGACTACTGGGCACAAATTCGCTGATGAGGAAAAAAAACTGATCCGCTACCAGTAATGGATTGTTCCTGGAATCCCTGGCATGAAAATCGTGTTCAGTTGACTTCTCCGAATCCATCTGCTGTTAACAAAGCATTATTCCTTCGGAAATTTTCGAAAAATTCCGTCTTTTAAGAAAAAAAAATTTGAAAATAAACTAAACTGAGGTTCTCCCGCTTCCATGAGAGGTAAATACAGACGAAAAATAAAGATACAAATGGAATCAGACGCAGCACCGCGAAGATTTTCGGTTCAACGAATTTTTTGATTTCACTGAATCTGCATCTTGAGCTAGAATCTAAGCCAACCCATGTAAGTCAGGTCTACCTCTGTACGTTTGGACTTTGGCTTCTCATGTTTCAACATTAGTCGCTTTGCGGAGCACAGTCCCGCAAAAGCTATCCGAATCCAAATGATCATTCGCGTAAGTACCACTCTGCATGTATACTACTGAGAGTTAGCTCTAACACATACTTCTGTTTGGTGACCTCTGCCGCAGGTGCATTCTCGAATGGACGCCTCACGTGCTGTTGTTGTTTGCCTGGGAACATCAAAATTATGCTTGTTTTTTGAGATTCATTTTTATTGCCAAACGAATTAATTATTTTTCAAATTCCATAGAGTCTTCCGAAAGAATTTGTCATTTTCGTACGAAAAATACCGAATGCAGCCTATGACAAGAAGAACAGAGGTGAGAGCGGAATAAGGAGGAAAATTGTTTTTTTTCGTTTTTTGCATTAACTTAACTCAAAATCAGTCACGAGGGAAAACAGAAAACTGAGTCGAGTGATGCACTAGTTAAGGAATTTTAGAGAGCTTTTTCCAGATATGGGCAAAATTTATACGACTTATTGAACCGGAACATTTCTTACCATTATAATATTTTACTTCTAATTTCGTAGTATGATTTCCTCTTGTCTTCTTCTAACTTTAAAATATTTTCCTATTAGCTAGGAGAGTGGAAAATAGGCTGGCGGTTGCTAAGTTTTTGCAAAAACCAAAAAAAAAAAGAAATCAGTCGAAAAATAGGGAATTTTTGTATTCAAGTATAGGGACCCAGCTGGACATTTTGATTATGGAATCAGGGCCAGGGTCAATCTTTGTCATCGGGTACCATTTTGATAAAAATCGCGTGAGCCAGTCTCTTTTGTTTGAGCTGGCAAACGCATTGTAAGTGCGTTTCATCCGGGCGGCTTTCGATTTCCCGTCCTTTTCGGCTTTTTCCAGAAATTGCACATCAGAGAGTGAGTACCCCGAGTCCGTATCCGATTTGACCCTGCCGCTGCTTCTCGATTTACGTGCTGGCGCGCCTGCTCTTGCTACACGGATCTGGGCTTGAGCCTGGGATTGCGCTCGGAATCTGTATTTGACGACAATCTCCACATCAGCTTTCGATTCGCTTGCAAGCTCCGAGGCATCGTCTTGTAGCCGTTTGAAAATTCGTTGCATCTGTTTTGGATAGCGCCTGCCGCAGCGCAACTTTTCGTACTAAAACAATACCTCACAGGCTAATAAAACGTACTTTTATTAGCTTTAACAATGCACGAATATTTGCGTGAGACCATTTATGCAAAAGCACATAGTGGCGTTGTGTCCCTATTTCTCAGTGTGTGCGTCATATTTGTAGGTCTAGTAGTGTGCGAAATCTAGCAGTTGTCGGCAAGGCGAGTACAGCTTGTCTTGACCATCGGGGCGTTTTTACATTGTGCTTAGGGGACTGTACTGATCATTCCCGTCCCTAGTCGTACCTTATACTGTCTGTGTTTGCAGCTAAGCGATGAAACACAGGTAGACTTTTTCCCGACACATTCCTTTCCACATGACCTTTCAACATGACATACGATTTTGTTCCGCACGAATTGCTGGACTGTCTTTTCCATAGTTACTAAATCCACCCTAGGTTATAATTTTCGGACTGTGGCCGTTCTAAATTTTTTATTTTTGGAACGTCCACTTTTTTTAGAGAAAGGTTCGACCTATTAACAACTGCAAATTATTTTAGCGAACTTATCCCAGCTTACGTTTAAACTTTCTGACTCCGACCGCTTCATATTTTGTTTCTTTTTTTTTGGATCGTTCAGTTGCCTTAAGATTACGATTCAGTCTTCTAAAGCCGCAATTTATTATTATTTTCTTGCGCAGATGCTTTTTCCTTAATATCAGTATTCCAAATATTTATTTTTCGAAATGTGGCAATTTTGCAGGTATAAGCGAAATACACGTGAATTTCTTATAATGTATACGTCGTCAAATTTGAGAATGTGGCACAACACTAGGTATCGGATGCATATGCAGATTTCCTGTACACAAGCGGAAATTTTCGCTATACAGAAACACCAATACGTTGGACAAATTAGGCGTATGAATGATAAGGATGACGAATCATAGGGTGACCAAAGAAAGAACGCCTAATAGAATCAGTGGTTAGAATCAGTCTAACTATGTATGTATAAATATGTGTGTCTATATATACATGCTTATATAAGAACTTGTATATGCATAAACATATATATGTATTTGTAATCTATGTATTTTTGCGGATACTAGCGATTCATTTCTGCATTTTCTCCCGTGCATTTTTCTTGTATTTTTACTTTTTCCGGATTTTTCTCCTTTTTTTATCAGTTGAAGTGAAGAATTGTGTGGGCAAGAGATAAGGAATTTCGAAAACATTGTTTTTTCTCTTCGTGTTTTAGACATGTTCTTTTTGAACTAAAATCAACATCCACATCCACTTGTTTATCCTGCCCAGGAACCTCCAGTGCAGTTTCGAATTAAAGTGTTTGGTGCTCAGTTCTTTCTTTAATAGCCGGTGAACTTTGCGGAACAGTGAGTGGTACCATGGACAAATTCCTGGGAACATGACATTGTGTGCGAACTGTAAATTGGGGATTCAGCAAAAAAAGAAGCTCCTTTATAAGAAGGGCTTAACCTATCTCTGTACAAAATCTGTTGTCAGATCTCAGCAGACTGAAGAGCTTTGTGTGGATTGTTTATCCGCGAGTAAATTCTTTCTTTGGTTGAATTCGGTCCGTTTACTCAAGAAAAGCTCTTCCAAAGTGGGAATGGGGAGCACGACTGAGAAAATTGCCAAGATGAGCTGGAAGGAAATAAACGAGTATTTATTGTTTTTGCACTAAAGCACGAGGTAAGTAAGCAATTTCCGCTGTATCTTCTGCGAGTTGGATATTGCGGGAGATAAACATCGTTTCTGTGCTTGGCAATGACAGTTTATAAATCGAACATTTTTGTCTTTACGCACTTATCCACTCCTGAAGCTCCGAAGAGCACCGATGGACCCCAGGATAGCCCGATGATCCTCTTGAATATAACCCAAGGAACCACAGACACCCTGCTAAATGGTGCATGCTTTTAGTAAACTATTATCAGTCAGGCTACTTTCCAGCCCTCTCTGCCTCTAAAAAAAGAAGGGGAAGAAGGGAAAGAAGGGGAATGAGTTTTGAAAACATGGTTTCTGATGCTAGCGATAGGAAGAAACAGTCCGACCGATTAAAAGTGACCGAATTCAGAACAATGATGTCGAAAACGTTGCGTGTACCAGCGTGGCACGTGAACATTTGCATTCGTCATACTTGCAAATTTACATATTTAAATGTAAATCTGAAGGAACATCTCAGCACCTTAACATCATAGCATCTCCACTAAAAATTTGCTTTCCTCTGCTTCCTCTCTTTGCGTCCCAACTAGAGCACACCAAAGTTTGCCCCCAGTGAATGCGTCCAGCACTTTTCAATACAAAGGCAAAAGATGAATTAAAACACAGCTGACTGGAGGACAAATGCAGTAATATGGCGGAATTGCTTTGCGTAAAATAACAATTAAACGTCTTGTCGAGAGAGAAAAGCAAGTGAAAGTGCTGGAGTTGTTTTAAAACTACTGCCTTAGAAATATTCTGGGCCATTTTTTCGAACAAACCTAAGATCATAGATAGTGAATCTCAATATCATATATACCAGTGGGCATTTTGGAGACCAATCTCTGTTTCATCCCTTAAGTGCAAACACAGATAGAGCAGAGCTGCAGGAAAATGCCTTCCGCTGCGCAATAGTTCCAAACAATGATTTCGAAAAATCTGTCTAAATTATAAAGGATGAGAATCCTGGGAAAAAATTTCATGCCCAACGAAAAATTCTTCTAATTTATAAAGAACGAAAATTATAGCAAAAAAAGGGAAAAAAAACAGTCGCGAGACATGAAAATTCGCAACTTCGCACCTTTACCATCTGCACTTCCAGGGTCAATCTGGATGCTGCAATCTGCATATCAGCATTATTAGTGGAATTATTAGCATTATAATCTCAGTGGTAAAGGACTTTAGCGGGACACACAATTTCTTTTCATAATTTTTTTTTCATACTCTGGAAGAATTTCTTTTGCCAAGAAGTACTACTACTGTAGCGTAGGAACCATGATGCGCACAATTATTCGGCTCATAAAAAATAACCCGGACGTATGTGAACGTTGATTTTAGTGCGGGAA